GTCCATGAAATGATATGTATATATGCAGCAGTGAGTTCAAGTCATGAAATAATTGAAGACGGCAAGTTTCTTGGAAAATGGAGAGTCAATTGTTTCAATGGTCAAGTTATATATCTTCAAATGTCTTCCGATTGAAGCTTCTGAGTTACCGTGCAATCGTTATTTATATTTACAATGAGAACCAAAAAATGATTCAAGTGGAAAATAAAATTGCCTGTACACTCCCACATAATTTCACACAATGTGACTCAAAGATGTTTCATTATAAAATATTGTTAGTCACTCAACTTTTAACAAAATTTCATGCTGATCGTCAAATTTTATTTTTATTCTGAAAAATGGAATTATAGTTTGCCTTTTATTTCAATCTGGCCACTCAATTATATTACTTCGGAATAGAATAAAGTTCAGAGACCAACATGAAATTAGCGATAAGTTGAATGACTTACAACTTCTTTTACTCCTGAAATATTACACACAAGTCCAATATGATAACATCTTTTAATATGTTATCATATTGTTGAGATGATGCATGATAGTCATGGTACATCCATTGAATTTTTAAGGCTAGTTCTTTTAAGTCAAAGTCTTTTAGGTAGGTATAGGCAAGTACAAGACCCTTCTGAAAATTAAATAATATTACACATCAATCGAAAAAAATTCTTCTTTTTCAACCACACATTCTCCAACAAAAACACTATTCCAAATATTAAAATTTAAAAGAAAGGGGACCAAACGAAAGCTTAAATTGTTGAGTTTTGACCATTAATCTTTGAAAAACGTTGAACATTACTCACTAGTATAACATCCTTTCAAAATCTCTAACGAAATTGATGACGTAACTGACAAAATGCACATGTGGCATATCGTCACACCATTAAACTTTGAAATGGTCGAATTTTGGATACTAAACTTTAAAAACATCTTCAATTGCTCACTAAACTTCAAAAAAATATCATTTATTGCTCACTAAACTCTGAGATTGACGAATTTTGAGCACTAAACTTGAGATTTTCGAATTTTGGGCATCAAACACTGAAAAATGCATTTGATTGCTCAATAAAATTTGACTGAACTTTGAAACGTTAGAATTTTGCCTACTAAACTTTAAAAAACATAGTTTATTCCTAACAATAATTTTGGATTTAACTAAAATTCGTTATTAAAATTTGGATTAAAATTTAAATTTAATTTAATTCTAACTATTATGTCTTTCAATGTAAAATTCAAATATTAAAGTTTAGATAATTTAACTTTAACAACAAATTTATTGTGTATTTCAAGTAAAAATGGTTCGAGCTTTTTTGGCTCAAGCCGAACGTTTGCTAGACCCAAAAATTTATTCTCGACTCGAGCCGGCTGGTGTTTTTTTTTAATTATTAATAAAACACAGGCATCTAAGTAGTTGCCTGTGTGCAATCTACATTTGCTTTCTCTTTGGAGGCAACAGAAGGCAATAGCACACTGCATGTTATTATCTTCATTTCATTCAGTAATTCTCGCAAGCACTAAAGCCTCAAGAAGGGTGATTTCTATGATTTGTTCATACCTCAGTTTCTAGACATGAGAAAAGTGAGAAGAACCTCAGCATAAAGCCTTTCTTGTGCTTCATATTGCAGACAACGGGTAGCTAATTAGACCAACTCAGTTCCATCATCATTTGAAAAACGACCCACCAAAAAAGAATCCATAAGCATCAAAAAAAATTTGCCTCGAGAGGCAAGGTCAAATTTAGATCATGACAAAGATGAATAGAGCAATTCATTAGTGGAAGAAACTAATCCAAATTAAAGAAGCACAAGATGGAAGATAATTTTGAAGTTGCACAAACTAATTTTTGTCAATTGAAAACAATAGTATCGTAACAACAAAACCAACTTCCAATTCAAATATGTAGTTTATTATTGAGTGAATGCAAAAGGCTTAAAGTTTAAATGTTTATCCAAAAAGCATTTCATAGTAAGAGTTTAGTTCATTTCTAAAGTTATCCTCCGGAAAGCACGGTCAAGTTTCCGGCGTTGACGTGTCGATGCCCGACACGTATCGAACACCGACAAGTCTCCGACATGTCGCCGACGCATGTCGGATTTCCTTGCAACGTGTCGGAGGGCTGGAAGAAAACAGTGAAGAAGAAGTAAAGAAAAAATGAAGAAGAAAGAAAGAAAAAAATGGTTACTGACTTACTGTGATATTCCGACAGCCGGTGCAAGAAAGAAGAAAAGATGAAGAAGTAGCTGGTGGAAGAAAAAGAAAAGAAGAAGAAGAAAGAAGAGAGAGGACAGACGTGTTTGCATTTTCCTTTGAATTTTGTACTTTTTGACCCCAACACATTAAAAGCTTGTTTGACAGCATGGTCCTTCTTTTATACAGTAATTGGACCAACACATTAATCCCCCGTTTGATTCTCATTAAATTAAATTACATTACATTTCATTTTTTTTTCTCCTATTTTTACCCACACAATCTTCCATAAAATAATATTACACGTAAATCAAAAAATTTTCCTTCTTTTTCAATCACTCATTTTTCTAAAAAATACTATTCCCCCATTTTCATATTCAGGTAATGGGGCTCAAACGGGGCTAAAGGCTGTCAGACACATAAATGTACTGTACAGTCACTACAGTGTATAATTTTTATTTTTATTTTGGTAGTATATATTATTTTTTTAATTTATTCTTTAACAAAGTAACATGCAAGATTTTATTCTTTTACCATTTCACCCTTCATGTAAAAAAAATTATTATTATTTTAGATTATTAAATTAAAATAAGTTAAAATTATTATTTTTATCAACGTGTCGAAAACATATCGTGTTGGAACTTTTTTTAAAAATCGCGTGTCAACGTGTTCGTGTCGGTGCTTCTTAGGTTATCCTAGCAGGCTGCTAGAGTGATAAGAGTTAACGTTTAGTGAATTAACACTCACAATTGAAGCAGCACCTGCTAACAGCAAGTTAAATGTCCAAGAAGTCTATAGTTATTTTGCAAATAAATTTGAAGACTTTTTAATGAATTATAAGCTTAAATGGCTTGGGACATGTGCTTGCCACTTAAAAGATCTAGCAGCAGAGTTATGAGGCTGTGAATTACACTTTTTGTCATTTTCATAACCAGAAAGCATATTGATGTGACCAAGGAAAGAAAGGCAAAGCAATTAAATGTGTCACGTGCATAGGGCATACCACATCATATACTCTAGAATAATGCTCCTTTAACAGGGGCTTTTGACTGAGAATGTTTGGGTGTTTTTTTTCAAACTGTTTAATCATATGTCAACACGTGTCTTCCATGTTTTTAAGTCTGTCACTATAGAAAGATTATATACTCTAGCATTTAAAGACAAATTAGATCGGTCAAATTTTTTTAATTTCTATGAATCATGCAAAGATCTTAAAAGTAAACCCCA